TATATCATCTTTCCGGGATTTATCTATCAGCAGTCTTTTTTTTGTCCTCTTTTGAACCATCCTTCCTTATAGTAATTTGTTACCATCCAGACAATTGACCACGAGATCCTTTTCTTACTTCTACCCCCAATTTTTTTACTTGCCTGTATGCATCTTGATTGACATATACATGTACCATCTTCCCATCTCAATCAAACATCCCGTAAAGCATAGTGCCTGGAGAAAAGACCATCATACACAATTTAAAAAAAGTAAGAGGGCTTTTACCATGTTGATGGTTTTGCTCATTTGTGAGACACTGGTTTGTTGGATGACCAAGGCCCAGACAGAAACCTGAGCTGACACCAGTAGTTTTGCAGCTGGACTAGGTTATTGGGGTCTGATTCTGGCTGGGTATATCACCCTCAAATATCCAATTTCTAATCATCCAGACACAAGGTGACATATGTGGTAGAATATGTAGCAGTAGAAATCAGTCAATCAGACAAGATAGGGTGACTATGGAAGAATGAACCCTGGAATTTAACAGTGTAGAGCCATCTATCTAACTTAGCAAAACTACTGGATGACTTCCAAGTGGGATTTAGAACACTTCCAGATAGAGATCGTTTGTTTGGACCTGTTGGGGGGTACCTGCCACACTTCAGATCAAGCCCTCCACATCAACAGCCACCATAAATACCAGTGGGGGGGCCAGTACTAAACCTTCATCATTAGGGTGGGGAGGGAGTGTTTTGAAGTGACAGGTACCCCCCAACAGGTCCGAACCAACGATCTCTACTTCCAGAACTTGATTTACACCACTACAATATTAGTTTTTGGCAAGAAAAGATTTTCAATAAGCCTTCTTCTGAAGGCTATTGTGTGACTGTGAGCTGGTTGTCATTATAATGGGAGTGTTAATGGAGAACTGAGGGGATTCTAAAAACACTTCAAATGGCAACAGGAATTCCTCCACTTGAATGGAGGGTCTGGGGAAGCTTGCACCCAGGGCCAGTGTTACAGTTGTGCACAGCAAATTACTGCACAAAGGCCAGGAGTGGGTTGGGGGGGGGCAATTTGCTAAACCTGCAGATGTTGATATTTTTGGAGGTTTTAGATTTTGTGGATTCAAAATGAAAGTGGCACCCAGATTGGTCCAGCCAGTTTTTACATTTGGGCACATGCCCTTGGGCTAGACTTTCCCTGGCGCCAAGGGCAGTCAGATCCTCCCAAAAAGTCTTGACCATCCGGACATGACTTGTACAGCAATTTGTCATGCACCACTGTACACAGAAAATCTCCCTAGGCTCAAAGAACCATGAAATATAGAAAAATAGACAGCACCAGGGCAGTCATTGGTCATCATGAATTTATCAGCATCTAAGAGTGAGAATAGCATACAAAAATATTTTATCCAACAGAAATCTAACATGGAGTAAACAATGAAGAAAATCTTCATTCAAGCCCAACAAAAATGACAATCTTACACCATAGTTCTTGATCAGTAGAAGTGTATATTAATCTTTCTCCACAGTGAATCTAGAAATCTGTAACTGGGAAACTAGAAACACAAAGCATCCCAGGTGGCATGGGGGCATCAAGAATTAACAAAGCAAAATCATTCCTCCAAGGTCTAATTCAGTCTCACAACTGAAGCTTTGTTGTCCCGTACCATCTTTTTTAGCACTTTAAAATTTGCAGGATTAGACTAGTCTCATACCAAAAATTTCTTTGTTGCCAAGGGTTGCTAGCTCTTGGACTAGAAAAGTAGAGGCTTTTTATTCCGGGGTGAGTTCTGAATATTCTAGTTGCACACTGCACATGTGGGTTCCAACATGCCACACTACTTCTACTCTAGGCCCCATCTTTCAGCAATAGATATTTAAGCTCTTGATACATCTTGAAATATTGAACCAGGTGCCCCTTGTATTGATGCAGCCAACATAGCAGGATCAGTATAGATGATAGTTGACTGGCCAACCAAAACAGTGCAAAGCTTGGTTTGGGAAACACCAGGTTTTTTGTGGATAACATTGTTTTACAAGGGCCGCAGGTCGATTCAAGGTACATAAATAAATAAATAGATGAATTTGTTTTAGCTAGGGGCTCAAATGATTTGGTGGGAAAAGGCTGAGCAGGCTTGTTCTAAGTAACACACAGACTCAAGAACTTTTAAAGGCCTTAGTAATTGATTGATATCAATGGATTTTAATCTTTTGGGAAGACAAATGGGTAGAAATTCAACAAAATAAACTCCATTATCAAATACAATGGAAAACCGGCGGTTCATAAGCTCTGTATTGAAAAGAAAAGATCACCCAATGACGTGAGCATCATTCACATGGCTTTAATCCTAAGAGTTTGCTCCCGAGGGAACCAAATAGAAAGAGAACAAGATCAACTGACCATAATTGAGGACACATCATCATTATCCCAGGGGCTTAGATAAACAGGTTGAACATTTCCGGCTACACACGCCTCTAGGTATTCTGGTGGCAGCGCAAAATCGGGATGACATTCACACAGTACTAGTCGCCTTAACATGGACAGGTTCGGAAAAGGATGAGCCCCAAATTCTACCGTCTGTGGTCTGTCTAGTAACCTGGAGGTAATCACAAGCACGTCGAGAGGGGCGGATGAAAACATAGGCTGATTCAAATAATGGCCAATACGACCATCCCAGAAGATCGCTCTGAAGACACGCAATCTTGGGAACTCTAGTTGAAGGGTTGGTGTCAGGTCGTTTAGATCGGTTACAAAGAGCCCTTCCAATGTTTCTCTGAGGTTTTCAAAAATTGGTACGAGCTTCTCGCGATAGTCACCTCCCCAGCTATTTTGAAGTGAAAGCACTTTCAGGGTTCGTTTGAGAATCAAAGAGAGATCTCTAAGTCTGGACAAGCTCTCCCCCGCCATGCTGATTTCCAGGCGAGTAATTGTCGACGGGATTTGATGTTCAAGGAAGGCGGAGTTGAACGGCCTTGGGAGGCAGATAGGATCCAATTCAAGTAGATCGAGTGACTCCAGAGTCCGAGTGGCCATAATCAACGACCTCAAAGAATCATGATCGATTTTCGACTTGATGGGATCCATATCGCTTGGAGGTTCATCCTCATAAGCGTCGTAGGCGACCATGTGGGCAAGGGCCATTTCTCCAATATTCTGCTGGCGCATATCCGCTTCAAACTCATCATCGTCATCATCGTGGTGCATAGGAAAATGCAGTTGTGGAGTTGGAATAAATGCTTTCAGCTCGTGACCTAGTTTCAGGTCGCGCAAATTTTTCATGTGCCCTATGCTTCCTATTATTTGCGTGGAGAGCGAGATGACATTCCAAAATCGGAGATAGAGTTCGACGACAGTGTCGGAGAAAAAATCGATCAGAGCTTCCAAGATTTCGGGAGTGATTGTCTTCCCGGATTGTCTACTCACCACTCTTGCTGATCCCCGGTTGGATGGTGGAGATCCCCAAGTCAAAATACCGAATATCTGAAGCTCTTGGCATCTTGGGTTTGGGAGCTGTGTTGGGTCCTTGGTGGTTTGGTCGATGAAACGCATTGCTTGAGAAGCATCTCGGAAGGTCATCGCACGGTAGAGGTAGTTGACATACAACCAATCTGCCCATTGACGACAGACCAGTCTCAACCTTCCTGTTATCGTCCCTTGTGCCGGGAACCCTATCGGATCGGTTGAGCGGAAACGCCTCTTTGTTAAGATGCTTGAAGATGTCCTCGAACAAATCCCACGGAAGATCCAAGATCGTGCGCATCGCTGGTCCCAGGCGAGAATCACAAAATCAATCTCTTGATTCTAAATACTTTCCAAAATTAAAGAGAAATTCGTACCTAAATACGTCGACTTTTGCTTGCAAGCTGCTCCGTCACCTGGCGAAGGCGCAAGTCTAAAGTTCTTACAAGAGCGCCCCAGTCCCCGAAGCCCGGGGTACCTCGGGCCAGTTTTGTGACAAGACCTCGCCAAAGGAGGTGGGCATGTGATGTCTTGCCAGGAAATTTTTAACTTGAAGGCAAATTCTATATTCACATTAAATTTTTGTGGAAGCAGCTTCTGTGTACTTCGAGTACCATCACACATTAGCTTGATCAAACTTTGGCTCCGGCCTGGAGTGGTCTCACTCAATGACCTGTACATAACAAGATGGCCTCAAACATAACCTGATGATTTATACACATTTCCTCACCATAATCCTTCTGGTGAAATCTGTCTCTGCTTCAGCGAACAGCGCCCAACTGATGATGCATCTGCTTCAGCAAACAAAGCCCAACTGATGCTTCAAGTGACCAGCAAAGTATAGAAACCGACGCTGTTTACTTAAACAGGATAACATGCAACATGTGATGGCGGCTGTGCTGCGCCAAACAAGATACAAATCCTAGAGGATTGAAGCACGTAAAGAACGGGGACGCAGGGGGTTTGGTTGATCAAAGTGCAAGCTGTTTCTTACAATCATGGCTGGCTGGGGAGAAATTCTTGAAAGTCTGATCTTGAAATTAGTTGCCATTGCCTAGTTCCATTTTAGGTTCTCATCTTAGGGCTTCACTATGCTATTTGGGACCATCTCTAAACGGCGTCATGCTATAAGGCTGATTTTTAATGTTTTCGGAACAGTTTCACCCACCAAATTCGTTAACCTGAAGCCCTCTGAGTGTGGCGAAACTAACAGACCAGCCAAAAGATGTTGTTTCTCAAAAGAGGATTTCAATATCGCCCTTGGCCAATGGCCCTCTCCCAGAGTTTCTGAAACTGATTTGGAAAATTCATGGAATACACCACAAGATCATTATTTTCATTCCATCGGGCAAGCAACATGGCCAGATTTTGTAGCTGAAGGTTTTCCCGTGCCTCCACTCTCTCCTACTTCCCAGAGATTGTTGCTTCAGTTGGAAAATGATCTGTTTCCAAATTCATCCTTTGCCAATCCATCTGATGATTCTGCTAGAAACCCCCACACTTCGAGTTCAAGTGAGTAATTTCCTCCTGTCCAATAACTCATTTCAAATGGGATAAATCGCCTGTTCTTGATTTAATCAATTCTGCGGTTTTAAGCCTATGATAGAATCCCTATGGGCCATGTCGGATCAGATCAAGCACCTCAAGCCAGTGGCGCTATATTTACAACAATAAACCAAAAAAATCCTAAACTTGATATGGATGAAGGTTAGAAAAATTTATTTATCTGAGAGACAGGTATGATTCAACTGAATTTCTCTAGCTGTCACAGGTGATTTCCTGAGTTGCATTGAACCGCCCTTGAGCCAATCAGTGCACGAGAAGAGTGCCGATTTTCCTCGAGGAACAACAAGGAAAAGATCAGCTGGTGAATATCTGAATCCAAGGGACAATCCCACTGGAGGAATCCCCAAGAATATTTCGATTGCCGGATACGTTTCAATATGGCTTCTCAAATCCCACTATGATAAGTTTTGCAAACAAATTGACTTGGTGATTCGCCGGCAGCCTATCAACGGGAAAAGAAAAATTGTCCCCCATCCAAAATTGGGAATCGCATTATATCATCTCAAGGAAGATCAAGCAGCAATAAGGATCTTGAATCTTTCCACAGGTAGCATGAAAAAAAGGGAGGAGTTTTTTGGAATCTACTACACTTTGATCAGATGGATATATGTACTCCATGAAGAATATTTGAACAGTTGTAAAATTCAAACATTCATGCACACAGTTTGGCAGGAAAAGATTTTGGATTGGGTCAATGATGAAATTTGTGGATACAATGATCAAAGTTATCCAATTGTAGGGAATATAAGCTTATCAGAACTCAAATGGCCAACAAAGGATCAATTTCGGGAAACTCAGGTTAAATTCATAGATTACTTTTCTCAAGGAGATGAAAGTCATGCGCTTGCCACTGCTACTTGTTTGTTGGAAAGCTTCAAAGCTAAAAATCCAAGTGAGTTGTCAATAATTCAATATTAAATGTATTGACTACATTTCTAATTCATCAAATCTTTTCAAAAATGTACCCAAATAAAATAAAAATTGTAACTCATCAGTCAATTCTCCAGACTCAAGTATCAAACTTCAAGATGATTCAAACTTTTCTATGAGTGAAAGTTTCAAAATAAATGCTCAACTTTTGTTGAACTTGGTAGAATGCAAAGAAATATTTTCTAGCCTGATTAATCATCAAGAGTGTCTAATTGGAAGGGAGAAGATCCCATCATCATGTCTATTGGGCTTTGAGACTCACCTTAAATCTCTTAAAGGTAGTCTACGTAATGTTTTTCGAAGTGTCCATCCTAAATTACCTATTTCAGCCTACTTTTTGAGGGATAATGCAGAAACCAAGATCTTGACTGTTTTGGATACAACTCATATTAAACGTATGTTGAAACCATTACAGGTAGTAAGCAATCTGAGGAAGCTACTCAAGGCAGTTAACTACTTATATCTTAGATCTTACAAATACTTCAATATCAAGGAATATAGATATGAGAAAAGTAGAAACACCCTATTTGAATGGATAATTGGAAAAATAATCAGCTCTCAAGACTCTACCCCCCTATTTGGGTTCTACAAAAGTGATGAGAATCTTGCACCTTGGGAAGGTGAGATAAACAAAGATTGGAAAGGTTTCCAATTGATTCAGATACAACTAATCAAATACCTCTCTGAAGAAGAAGATTCATCAACTTTACAAGAAACAGCAGTCTTTTCTCTTACAACATGGTATCAGGAAACTCACCCACATGGATTTGATCAGTTACCACAAAATGCCCATTTAAACCAGAATGAATTTCACTTTCAATTGTGATCTTTGCATTGTTAGATTCCTTAAAATTGATTATTTTTCTTGGAAGATCCTTTTTCATGAGCAAAAATGCTTTATGCATGTGAATGTGTTTTTATACACTTAAATCCTGCCTTTCAGGTGTGTGTCAATTTGCAGGTATAGCAGAAATGTGCCATAGGCACACACAGGGAGAAATTGATAACCCTGTGTGGTTTGTCTGGAGCTTCCCAGAGTTTTTTTTGTGCTACCATGAAAAGCTTTATCTGTAACTAGCCCCAGTGATGCAAAGTGCTGCAGACCACCCATCAATTGTGGATAACCAATCAGACAAAGTCACGCATGTTTGCTTTTCAGGTAGAGTCAGTCATTACAGCCAATTACAATTGAGCCAGGTTTCAGGGAAACCATTTTTGGGGACAAAACACAATGTCATCAATCAATGCCTGTTTCATGAGTATGCCTGAGAGAAAAATATCTTGAAAAGGGGCAAGGTACAAATCAATAAACTCATGTGACCTGTGTTAAGTATCAAACTTAAGGGTGTATTTCAGATCAGTAATGATAACAATGAAATACAATAGAAAATAAAGATACTGATATAATGAAATAAAAAGGTACCTTATGGCAGGAGAAACAACACAAGGGACACAACAAAGATCAAAAAAGAGAAGAGAAAGAGAAACTAAACAATAAAGAATCTTAGTTGAGATTCAATCAAGTCGATGAGACAGGAGACTGAAGCAATAACCTCCAATGACAGGATAGATAGTTGGGAGTGCTTAGATTGGTGGAAGATTAAATAGAAGGGGAAGCACAAGTGTTTGTGAAGGAGGACAGTGATTGAAGAAGATGTTCAGGTTGAGTTGTTTCACAACAAATGAAAAGATGAGGATGTGAGAATGTCAATATGATAAGGGTTGCATAATGATCTATGATTTTATGGATGATGGTGATGAATCTGTTGTTGAGTAGAAGTGTAGGAGTCTTAAGACAACAAGTTAAGAAAGTGAGTGAGAAGTCTTAAGCTCAAAAAGATGAGGAAGTGAGTTGGTGGATTCATGAGGAGGAAAGAGTGAGTGATTTCAGCCAAGAGAGAGATCAATTTATGTCAGGAATCCAAGATTATTTCATTGAGAAGATGACTGAGATTATGTAATCTTCTTCTTTAGAAAAATACTGCTGGGGTTGTAGAGGAACTGAGCTCAGATCTCAACAACCTGGTCCAAAGACTTGGTTTTTAAAAGTCTTGGGAAGTTTTCAAAACCCAAAATTGACCTTTTCAGGGGTAAAATTTTGGCACAATTGACATTTAACCTCCTTCAAAAGTATGATTTTGTGTGTTTGACCTATTACACATGCATAATTCAACACCCACCTATTATGGGGCTTTCTGTGATTCCAACCACAAGGAAATTTCATCAATTGAAATATTTGTCTGTTCTAGCACAACAAATTGCAGGGGGAATCATAGGGAAAAGGCTTGATCTACTTTTACTACCAGTCTGAAATGTTGGAAAACAAGTTCTCAAACATCCTTAGAATCAATACACACATTCTCTCTTTATAACACATCTCCCTACTTATGGTTTATGACAATGTGTCAGAAAGCAATGTCCAACTACTTTGTTGTGTGAGAAGTACTGATTACAGGAGCTGAATCTTATTCAATATAAGTTTAAATTTTATGAAGCAATGGCTGCTGCATCAAAGAAACAAGGTTTGAATTAAGTGACTAACAGAATCAAGGGGCCTTGTTTTATCAAGGCTTTGGCTCCCTTTTGATCTTGTTGCACCTAGTTTAAAAGAGAAATGATTTGAAGTCTGAAATTCAAAATTTTTTTTCATCACCCAGATATTTGAAAATTGATCATATCAGTCTTCAACATGCTATCTTGGGATATTGTTTCACAACACCACACATTTAATCTACTTTTTTACATCTTTGGAGCAGTTTCATCCACCAACTCTGTTAACCTGAAGCTGCCAGAGTGGGGCAACCCCAACAAATCAATCAAAAAAGCATGCTTCCCAGAAGAGGAGCTCACTATTGCCTTGATGAAATGGAATTCTCCCATAGTTTCTGAAACTGATCTAGAAAATTCATGGCTAGACTCACAAGATGAACCCAATTGTACAGGGAATATAAACTTGGCAGATTTTTCAGCCAAAGAACCTCTCCCAGTTCCACTCTCTCCTGGTTTACAGGATATCTTAATTCAATTGAAAAATGACTTCTTTCCAATTTCCTCTTCTTCCAGTCTGGTTTCCAATTTGAATTCATGTGCTGCAGTTCCCGGTAAGGAATTTTGCTTTCCAGGAGATCACATAACTGATTTTAAAAAAAGGATACCAGCTAATGAGAATCAAGATCTTATTCATTTGTAAAACCTTGCTGTTTGAAGCCCTTGATATAATCTCAAAGTCCCCCACCAGTTTACATCAAACACCTCAAGCTAGTGGCAATCCAACTAAGCTGATGATGCAAGATAACACCATGGATTATATTGATGGAGGTTAGAAAATTGATGATCTCTTCTTGTTTAGCTTTCATTAAACTGACATCCTACAGTTTTGAAAGGTGACCAACTGTGTAGCATTAAACCATCCTCAAACCCATCCATGAATGACATGTCTCCTCAGTTTCCTGCTCAACCATCAAGGAAAAGAGCAGCTGATGAATACTTGAGTCCAAAGCACAAAGTTACAGGCAGAATTTCTCAACAGTATTCTATTGATGGATATCGCTCAATATTGCATCTCAAATACCACCATGATAAATTTTGCAAAACACTCAAGTCAATTGATTCCATCAAAACTACTTCCCAGAAAAAATATCAGATCCCCTATCCAGAATTAAGACTTGGAATATGCTTCATAAATGAAAGTCATGTAGCAATTAAGATCTTGAAATTCTATATGAATAGTGTGACAGAAAAGCAAGATGTGTTTCAAAGCTATTACAGCTTGATAAAATGGATCTTTGTACTCTATGAAGAATATTTGAAAGGTTTCAGCATTCCAATATACATGCACATCCATTTGCAACAAAGGATCCTGAATTGGGTGGACTCTGAAATTTTTGGATCAGATAATGAAAGTTATCCAATCATGGGGATAAGAATTTTATCAGAATTCAAATGGTCTAATGAACATCAATTTAGAGATACTCAGATCAAGTTGATAAATTACTTCTCTAAAGGGGATCAAGAGCTTGCACTTCCCACTGCTACCTATCTGCTGGAAATCTTCCAAGTCATGTATCCAAGTGAGTTGAAGTAGATTTGAGAATGTATGAATGAACAGAATTGCCAATTTATTGATTCTTGGTAATTTTTTGAAATAAAACCTAATTATGGTGGGTTGATTCATCTTGAATAACTAAAAAAACATCATACATCAGTCAATACACCAGTATCAAGTGATGAAATTGAAGATTTTTCAACAGTTTATCAAAGTACACATTTAAAACAAAAAATGAAAACTTTATTGAAGTTGGCAACTGACAAAGAAGTATTTTCTGAACTAGTTCATATGAAGAATTTTTCAATTCAAGGAGAGAAGTTGAGTTCACCCACTATGTTAAATTTCAAGAATCACCTTCTCTCTCTGAGAGGAAAGCTGGGTCATTCTTTGCGGAGCATCCATCCCAAATTATCCATGTCAGCTTACTTTGTACAAGGAAATTTGGACAAGAAGATCCTGCATGTTTTGGATAACAGTAAGTCTAAATACTTGCTTGAACCATTGCAGGTGATAAGAAATTTCAAAAAACTTCTCAAAGCAATCAATCACCTTTATCTTAAATCTTACAAACATTTTGATATCAAGAAAGATGAGTACAAGAAGAGTAGAGAGAGATTATTTGAATGGCTGACTGGAAAACTTGTCAGCTCTCAAGACTCTACCCCTCTATTTGGGTATTATGAAAGTGAAGACAAACTTGCACCTTGGGAGGGTGAGAAAAACAGAAATTGGAAAGGATTTCAAAAGATTCAAATCCAATTGATTGAATTCTTCTCTGAAGAACAAAATCCCTTGACTCTAGAAGAAACAGCAGGGTTAGTTCTTACAGTTTGGTATCAGGAAAATCACCCACAGGGATTTGAAAATCTAGTCAAAACATCCAATCAGTGTTTATTATAGTTTGGACTTTTTTGGGTTCAGTCACCAGTTTCACAAAGACATATTTCACAATCTCAGTAATTTATTTTGAGTGTTTCCATAAAGGAATTGTTAAATAGATTCTCATTTCCATACAAGAGCTTAAGATTTAATTGAAAAGGTTCTAATTCACATCTCCAGGATAATTTTACCTTGAACAAATTCAGAAGAATTGACAAAAATAGAATAAAATTGTTCCACAAAACAGTATCATAACTGATAATGCAAGTATACTCTAAACACCTCCATACTGTTGGATTAGGAGGCTCTGTCAGTTAAATCAGCTCAGTAAAATTCAACTTATTGTAGCAGTTTCTTTCATAAGGCATAAGCATCATTCACATTGCAAAGAAATATATCCAAAATGCTCTACTTTTAGATTTTAGATGAGAGAAAGTCACATGATACCACATCTTGCCAATGGTTCAAATAACCTGCCAAGGCATTGAAGACAGCTTTTGGGGATGTCCCTGGTTGACCAACTCCATGGCAATACATCCTAATTCAAACTTACCACTGCAAGAAGAAATTGTGCAACTGTGCACAGTTGACAAGCAATATTAAAGAGGTGTCTTTGCAAAATTGCATGTCAACTGCACCCAGTTGTGCAACTTTTTCTTGCAATGTATCTCAATGTAATGGTCTTGGTTGAGGGAGTGAGAGCTGGGCTGAGCCATTGACTGACCAATATCTGAGTTATTGTTCTGATTTAGATTTAGTTGAATGCTTCAGGGCATCAAACAAGTTACATGGCTGTCACTCAACAGATTACTTTGTAGCAGAATTGGGAAGGTTTTCATACCTTGAATATAGCATCTGAAAATTCTGTGCATGGTCTGTAACTCATAGACACTAGGAAATGCATAAAAATATAATTCTTGACCAGCGGGCTTGAAGAAGGTGAACAGAGTACAACTAATCAGCTAGTGGGTGTTTCAGAGACAAAATCTGTGTTCTTCTTCTGGTCTTTTTGGCTAAACTTTACAACAATTTGTTTTCTTTGTGAATAGAGGAAGGGGGGCTGGTAGATAGGTAAAACACAGATGTGCATTTACAACAGAGAGACATTTTTTTTGACTGACAAGTAGGCAGAACACAGATTTGCATTCAACAGATAAACATTGGATTTGTTTTTTTTGGGGGGGGAGGATTGACTTGATTTGAGGTCTCATCTTGTGGCCAATGGAAATCCAGGTTTCTACCAAAAACACACAAGCTCGCCAGTTCATAATTTCTGGATTTGAAATGAGCAACATGGTAAGCGTTAAAGTTCAAAGCTTTCATATGTCGCAAGAGTCTCCGTAGCAAAAAAAGGAAAAAGAGTACTAAATCCACTGACCATGATCAAAGAGACATCCTCGCCATCCTTGGGGCTCAGATAAACGCATTCTACGCGACGGGCATTACATGCCTTGATGTATGCTGATGGCGCCGAGTAACCAGGTTGGACTTCACAAAATACTAGTCGTCTCAACGTGGGCAGGTTTAAAAACGGATTGGCACGGAATTTTCCTTTTGGTTTACTGTCGACGACATCTGATTTGAGGGCAAGAACCTCGATGGGGGAGAATGCTATCATAGGCTTCTCCAAAAGATTGGATATAGGACCCTCCCACGCGCCCGTTTTGAAGACACGTAATTTTGGGAACTTGAGTTTCATGAAGGGCTTGAGGATCTTTATGTCACTAACAAAGAGGCCTTCGAGACTTTCTCGGAGGTTTTCGAAGACAGGTACAAGGTTGCGACTGTGATTACCTTCCCAGCGATCCAGTAGTGAAAGAACTTTCAGAGTGCCTTTAAAGATGATAGAAAGATCTATGAGTCTAGATAGACTCTTGCCCTCTAGGCTTACTTCCAGCTGAGTAATAGTCGGGA